TGTGTTTAATGAGTACTGAGCGGTGCATTGATGCCATCTGAAAGCTGATACATTTGTAAACAAGATTACATTATCACGGCATAAAATTAAATGTTGCATTGCAAAGAAGTAATCTAAGGATCGGCTTCGGCTTAATAAACTGGCAGTAAAGAATAAAGTGGGCAGAAATGTGTACAATTGTGTGCGTCGCTGTGACTGTATCCTGTCATTATGTTAAGGGTGTTGATGTTGGGTTTTTATGTTTTGTGTTTCAATAACATATCGCTTAGGTGCCCGTATGGCTTCAGCTGTAGAATTCACATTGATTGCGTGAATTACAAACATACAATCATAGATGAGTGACAGCCGAGAAAAAGAAGCAAAGTGGCCTATCCAGTCTTCCGCTTTGTTTGCTTTTTTCCTTCTGCTGCTTTGAGGGGATGTCCCCGTGTTGTAGTGATATAAAGATTTATATAGAGGAATCAGGACCTCCTTCCTCCTGCCGGTGACCCCTCTAGTGATATGAAGATCTATATAGAGGAATCAGGACCTCCTCCTCCTGCCGGTGACCCCTCTAGTGATACAAAGATCTATATAGAGGAATCAGGACCTCCTTCCTCCTGCTGGTGACCCCTCTAGTGATATAACATCTATATAGAGGAATCAGGACCTCCTTCCTCCTGCTGGTGACCCCTCTAGTGATATGAAGATCTATATAGAGAAATCAGGACCTCCTTCCTCCTGCCGGTGACCCTCTTGTGATATAAAGATCTATATAGAGGAATCAGGACCTCCTTCCTCCTGCCGGTGACCCCTCTAGTGATATGAAGATCTATATAGAGGAATCAGGATCTCCTTCCTCCTGCTGGTGACCCCTCTAGTGATATGAAGATCTATATAGAGAAATCAGGACCTCCTTCCTCCTGCTGGTGACCCCTCTAGTGATATAACATCTATATAGAGGAATCAGGACCTCCTTCCTCCCGCCGGTGACCCCTCTAGTGATATGAAGTCTATATAGAGGAATCAGGACCTCCTTCCTCCTGCCGGTGACCCCGCTAGTAATAGAAAGATCTATATAGAGGAATCCGGACCTCCTTCCTCCTGCTGGTGATCCCTCTAGTGATATAAAGATCTGTATAGAAGAATCAGGACCTCCTTCCTCCTGCCAGTGACCCCTCTAGTGATATAAAGATCTACGTAGAGGAATCAGGACCTCCTTCCTCCTGCGGTGACCCCTCTAGTGATCTAAAGATCTATATAGAGGAATCGGGACCTCCTTCCTCCTGCTGGTGACCCCCTCTAGTGATCTAAAGATCCATATAAAGGAATCGGGACCTCCTTCCTCCTGCTGGACCCCTCTAGTGATATAAAGATCTATATAGAGGAATTGGGACCTCCTGCCGGTGACCCCTCTAGTGATATAAAGATCTATATAGGGGAATCGGGACCGCCTTCCTCCTGCTGGTGACCCCTCTATTGATATAAAGATCCATAGAAAGGAATCAGGACCAGCTTCTTCCTGCTGGTGAACCCTCTAGTGATATAAGGATCTATAGGGGAGGCCTTCTCCTTCCTGCTGGATGACTAGTGACATAAGGGATTGAGGCCTTCTCCTTCCATAGAAAGGAATCGGGACCTCCTTCTTCCTCTTGACGGTGACCCCTCTAGTGATCTCAAGATCTATATAGAGGAATTGGGATCTCCTTTCTCCTGCCGGTGACCCCTCTAGTGATCTAAAGATCTATATTGAGGAATCAGGACCTCCTTCCTCCTGCCGGTGACCCCTCTAGTGATATAAAGATCTATATAGAGAAATATGGACCTTCTTCCTTCTGCCGGTGACCCCTCTAGTGATAGGATCTACAGTTGCAAGAAAAAGTATGTGAACCCCTTGGGATTACATGGAGTTTTGCATGAATTGGGCATAAAACGTGCTCTGAACGTCATCTAAGTCACAACAATTGAAGAACACAGTCTGCTGAACATAATACTACATAAACATTAGATGTTGCCATGGTTTTATTGCACATAACATGTAAACATTCACAGTGCAAGGAGGAAAAAGTATGCGAACCTTTGGACTTAATAACTGGTTGACCCTCCTTTGGCGGCAATAAACTCAACCAAACGTTTCCTGTAGTTGCAGATCAGACCTGCGCAACGATCTGGAGTAATTTTGGACCACTCCTCTTCATAAAACTGTTTCAGTGTAGCAATATTCTTGGGATGTCTGGTGTGAATTGCTCTCCTAAGGTCATGCCACAGCATTTCAATCGGGTTGAGGTCAGGACTCTGACTGGGCCACTCCAGAAGGCGTATTCTGTGCTGTTGCAGCCATTGTTTTGTTGAATTACTTGTATGCTTTGGGTCATTGTCATGTTGCATCACCCATCCTCTGCGGAGCTTCAGTTGGCGTACGTTTTCCTGCAAAATGTCTTGATAAACTCTGGAATTCATTTTCCCATCAATGTCAACAATCCGTCCAGGCCCTGAGGCAGCAAAGTAGCCCCAAACCATGATGCTCCCTCCGCCATGTTTTACAGTGGGGATGAGGTTTTGATGTTGGTGTGCTGTGCCTTTTTTTTCCACACATAGTGTTGTGTGTTCTTCCCAAACAACAACTCAATCTTGGTTTCATCTGTCCACAGTATATTTTGCCAGTAGTGCTGTGGAACATCCAGGTGCTCTTTTGCAAACTTCAAAGGTGCTGCAATATTCTTTTTGGACAGCAATGACTTCCTCCGTGGTGTCCTCCCATGTACTCCATTCTTGTTTAATGGTTTCCTTATTGTAGATGTGTCAACAAAAATGTTAGCATGTGCCAGAGATTTCTGTAGGTCTTTAGCTGACACTCTGGGATTCTTCTTTACCTCATGCAGCATTCTGCGCTGTGCTCTTGCAGTCATTTTTACAGGATGACCACGCCTAGGGAGAGTAGCAACAGTGCTAAACTTTCTCCATTTGTAGACAGTCTGACTTACCACGGACACATGAACATCAAGGCTTTTGGAGATACTTTTGTAACCCTTTCCAGCTTCATGCAAGTCAACAATTCTTGATCGTAGGTCTTCTGAAAGCTCTTTTCTGCGAGGCATGGTTTACATCAGACAGTGCTTCTTGAAACCAGTATTTCTTGAAACCAGTAAACCCAAAACAGTGTGTGTGTTTTTTAAGGGCAGGACAGCTGTCAGCAACACATCCAATATCATCACACTGATTGGAGTCAAGGTTGGCTCACTCCTGGCTCCAATTAGCTCTGGGAGAAGTCATGAAGCTAGGGCCTCACATACTTTTTCCTCCCTGCACTGTGAATGTTTACATGTAATGTGCAATTAAACCATGGCAACATCTAATGTTTTGTGTAGTATTATGTTCAACAGACTGTGTTCTTCTATTGTTGTGACTTAGATGACATTCAGAGCACATTTTATGCCCAATTCATGCAAAACTCCACGTAATCCCAAGGGGTTCACATACTTTTTCTTGCAACTGTATATAGAGGAATCAGGACCTCCTTCCTCCTGCCGGTGACCCCTCTAGTGATATAAAGATCTATATAGAGGAATCGGGACTTCCTTCCTCCTGCTGGTGACCCCTCTAGTGAGCTAAAGATCCATATAAAGGAATCCGGACCTCCTTCCTCCTGCTGGTGATCCCTCTAGTGATATAAAGATCTGTATAGAAGAATCAGGACCTCCTTCCTCCTGCCGGTGACCCCTCTAGTGATATAAAGATCTACGTAGAGGAATCGGGACCTCCTTCCTCCTGCCGGTGACCCCTCTAGTGATATAAAGATCTATATAGAGGAATCGGGACCTCCTTCCTCCTGCCGGTGACCCCTCTAGTGATCTCAAGATCTATATAGAGGAATCAGGACCTCCTTCCTCCTGCTGGTGATCCCTCTAGTGATATAAAGATCTATATAGAGGAATTGGGACCTCCTGCCGGTGACCCCTCTAGTGATATAAAGATCTATATAGGGGAATCAGGACCTCCTTCCTCCTGCTGGTGACCCCTCTAGTGACATAAAGATCCATAGAAAGGAATCGGGACCTCCTTCTTTCCTCTTGACGGTGACCCCTCTAGTGATCTCAAGATCTATATAGAGGAATTGGGATCTCCTTTCTCCTGCCAGTGACCCCTCTAGTGATCTAAAGATCTATATAGAGGAATCGAGACCTCCTTCCTCCTGCTGGTGACCCCTCTAGTGATATGAAGATCTATATAGAGGAATCAGGACCTCCTTCCTCCTGCCAGTTATAATAATAATTCTTTGCACACTGAATTGGATAGGTATTTTTATTCCTAATAATAAATGATGAATAAATGGTTTTTACAATTATATTTGTTACTTTTTTGTGTCTGAAAGTGGAGCCCGCCTTTGAATCCAGAGACACATGGCTGAGCAGATAACATTTCGGACCTAATGGTAATGGTTTGTTTCTGTACAGTGATGGGCTCGGTTCGTAGATGATATCTCTTGCAGAGGGTCATTACCTGTCATGGAATGCTCCTGGGTGGTGAAGACTCATAATTAAGAGTTGACTTTATCATTTCAATCGCTGGCTTCCTAATGAACCGTCCCCCTTGTCGCAGAACCTGGCAACTTTCTACTGATGGATAGGAAGTATCCCTGCCTCTTTGGGGACCGGCGTTACCATGACATCTTCCGTGCGCTCAGCTTGTTCGCCTGACAGGAGGCAACAGAACGGAGTCCCAGGGCTGCCCGAGTGACGCTCAGGCAGATAGAAGTTGACAGAGAAGTTCTGGGTCCCAGATAGTAGAAATGACAGAGAAGTGTATCACCTGCATGGCGGCCGCCAGCTTGGAGTGAAAAGTGAAAGATAACAATTGAGATTTCCTGAATCCTTCAGGGCTTGAAATGCCATTTCAGCAAACTTAGCCACTTGCCTGCCGGGGTCGTTTTTTTAACTTTTTGCAAACATGTCAAAGTCAGCATTTTTTGCTAGAAAATTATACACTAAAGGCAGAGACCCTGGAGAATAAAATGGTGGTAGTTGCAATTAAAGTGTTACTAAACCCTGGACCCTGAATTCACTATATCCGCTCTCCCCGGACCCCGCATTCACTATATCCGCTCTCCCCGGACCCCGCATTCACTATATCCGCGCTCTCCCCCGGACCCCGCATTCACTATATCCGCTCTCCCCGGACCCCGCATTCCCTATATCCGCTCTCCCCAGACCCCGCATTCACTATATCCGCTCTCCCCGGACCCCGCATTCACTATATCCGCTCTCCCCAGTCCCCGCATTCACTATATCCGCTCTCCCCGGACCCCGCATTCGCTATATCCGCTCTCCCGGACCCCGCATTCCCTATATCCGCTCTCCCCGGACCCCGCATTCCCTATATCCGCTCTCCCCGGACCCCGCATTCGCTATATCCGCTCTCCCGGACCCCGCATTCGCTATATCCGCTCTCCCCGGACCCCGCATTCGCTATATCCGCTCTCCCCGGACCCCGCATTCGCTATATCCGCTCTCCCCGGACCCCGCATTCGCTATATCCGCTGTCCCCGGACCCCACATTCGCTATATCCGCTCTCCCCGGACCCCGCATTCGCTATATCCGCTCTCCCCAGTCCCCGCATTCACTATATCCGCTCTCCCCGAATCCCGCATTCACTATATCCGCTCTCCCCGAATCCCGCATTCACTATATCCGCTCTCCCCGGACCCCGCATTCACTATATCCTCTCTCCCCGGACCCCGCATTCACTATATCCGCTCTCCCCGGACCCCGCATTCACTATATCCGCTCTCCCCGGACCCCGCATTCACTATATCCGCTCTCCCCGGACCCCGCATTCACTATATCCGCTCTCCCCGGACCCCGCATTCCCTATATCCGCTCTCCCCGGACCCCGCATTCCCTATATCCGCTCTCCCCGGACCCCGCATTCGCTATATCCGCTCTCCCCGGACCCCGCATTCGCTATATCCGCTCTCCCCGGACCCCGCATTCGCTATATCCGCTCTCCCCGGACCCCGCATTCGCTATATCCGCTCTCCCCGGACCCCGCATTCGCTATATCCGCTCTCCCCGGACCCCGCATTCGCTATATCCGCTCTCCCCGGACCCCGCATTCGCTATATCCGCTCTCCCCGGACCCCGCATTCGCTATATCCGCTGTCCCCGGACCCCGCATTCGCTATATCCGCTGTCCCCGGACCCCGCATTTGCTATATCCGCTCTCCCCGGACCCCGCATTCGCTATATCCGCTCTCCCCAGTCCCCGCATTCACTATATCCGCTCTCCCCGAATCCCGCATTCACTATATCCGCTCTCCCCGAATCCCGCATTCACTATATCCGCTCTCTCCCCGGACCCCGCATTCACTATATCCTCTCTCCCCGGACCCCGCATTCACTATATCCTCTCTCCCCGGACCCCGCATTCACTATATCCTCTCTCCCCGGACCCCGTATTCACTATATCCGCTCTCCCCGGACCCCGCATTCACTATATCCGCTCTCCCCGGACCCCGCATTCACTATATCCGCTCTCCCCGAACCCCGCATTCACTATATCCGCTCTCCCCGGACCCCGCATTCAGCATATCCGCTCTCCCCGGACCCCGCATTCACTATATCTGGAATCCCTGGACCCGGCATTCACTATATCCGCTCCCCCCGGACCCCGCATTCACTATATCCGCTCTCCCCGGACCCCGCATTCACTATATCCGCTCTCCCCGGACCCCGCATTCACTATATCCACTCTCCCCGGACCCCGCATTCGCTATATCCGCTCTCCCCGGACCCTGCATTCACTATATCCGCTCTCCCCGGACCCTGCATTCACTATATCCTTTCTCCCCGGACCCCGCATTCACTATATCCTTTCTCCCCGGACCCCGCATTCACTATATCCTTTCTCCCCGGACCCTGCATTCACTATATCCGCTCTCCCCAGTCCCCGCATTCACTATGTTGCACTATATCCGCTGCCGGTTGTCAAAAACATGGCTCAACACCACATTTTTTTTTCACCCCCCCCCCCAACCGCCTTTCATCCATTTACAAACTTTTTTTTCGTAAATGATAAATGTTAGTCTGGTTGCTTCTTCTTTTTGCTGTTCACGTTTCCCACATCGCTCCAGATGGCGTCTGGATTGGACCGCCGCCGTTGTCCAGCAACGGGTAAAGTGCAGCGCATTATGCCGATTTCCTCCTTGCTGGGATTTTTTTCCCCGTTCTCCCGCATTCTCGCCATTCACAATTTACGCCCATTGAGAGTGTTTATGTTCTCAATCAGAATGTTTGTGTCAAAACAAGAGTGAGTAATTAGAGGACCGGCAGCGCTCCGAGCAGCTGACGCCGTTCGCCGCACATAAGCCCCGCTTGTTTTATTGCGCTGAACTGACATTTCTGATGGGAATGCGGTCACAGCCCATGTGGGAGCTGACAGCCAACTCACACACAAAATTCTGCGCTGAGCCAGGGAGGCGGCGAATGACCTGCGTCGGTCCTATGTACGGTCACCATGCGTAGCAGAAACGCTTAGAACTGCCGAACTGTAGTTAGGATCGATGGAAGCCCTCAATGGGTGACACGAGCTTCGCTTTCCAAACTGTGTGCCATAAGCAACTGCCATTTTTTTTAACCAATTTGCGTCCAGGGCAATATTTGATTTTCTTGGCACACATTTAAATCTGCATTTTTTTGCTAATTACTTAGAACCCCCAAACATTGGACCAACAATACAGCGAACGTCCGAGTTCAGACCCAAGATCATCCCTGCTCACCAGGGGCGGACTGACAACTCATGGGGCCCCCGGGCAATAGGGGATCATGGGGCTCCTGTGTCCTTGTCCAAACTCAAAAAAGCCTATGAAAAAAGGTACCAGGGGCAACTCATGGGGCCCCCTACTGACCCCGGGCCCTCGGGCAGTGCCGAGTTTCCAAATGGTCAGTCCGCCCCTGCTGCTCACTATATGTGGTGGTATCAAAACGTTTCGAGACTAGTTTTGTAACCCTCCAACAGATGGCAGCACAAGGCTGCACCCAAGCTCATCCCTGCTCACTATACGTGACAGTATCAAAAAGGTTTGAGACTAGTTTTGTAAGCCTCCAACAGATGGCGGCACAAGGCTTCACGCACAGTCACAGGGAGCACCGATCCTTCATAAGTCAGTGTGCCAAAAAGACATCGTCCTGGGTACGTCGGGAGCTGTGCAACTGGTGCTATTCTGACCACATGCGTTACCACGTTTGCTATTTCGTCATAGACGGCAAGTTTGAACAAAGAGTAAACATTAAGTTCTGCTTCTAGTCCATTCACATTACAAAGAAAAGATCCTCCTGCGCTTATATGGGTGAACCTAATTATAACCGCTATCACAACCTTAACCAATCAGTGAAAGAACAATATATATAAATAGCAGGGGCGGACTGACAACTCATGGGGCCCCCGGGCAATAGGGATCATGGGGCCCCTGTGTCCTTGCCCAAACTCAAAAAAGCCTATGAAAAAAGGTACCAGGGGCATCTCATGGGGCCCCCTACTGACCCCGGGCCCTCGGGCAGTGCCCGAGTTTCCAAATGGTCAGTCCGCCCCTGGTCAGTGCTCAGGTTTCCTGCACTGACTGCTTTTTACATTTGTGGGTTCAATAACACTTAACCCCCCTGGAGGTATTCCCGAGTGTAGCTCGGGGTAAAGTTTCAGCACCACAAGCGGTAACCCCGAGCTACACTCGGGAATACACTGCAGCGCTGCTCCGGGATCTCTTCAGCACTTACCTTGTCCTGCGCTCCCGCGATGTCCCTCCTGCAGTGTCCCCTGTAATGTCCTTCGGCGGATGCCGGCATCTGTCATCTGTGTTCTGTTCCCTGCGACGTCGGGACGTACGGGGGACGGAACTGGCGGCAAATTCGAAAATTTTAAAAACTGTCATTCACTCAATACACTAAAATCACATAGTATAACATTCCTGTATCAACCATTTCACATACATTTTGTCCCGAGTGCTTTGTCCGGCGCCCTGCCTGCATTTTTACCGTTCTTTCTGCCTGGAAACTGAGAAACGTCCATGGCGTCCAAAAAGCGTCCCTTTAGGTCAAAAGCGGTTTTAGACCGGCTAGAGAACAGCGATAGTAAATCAGAACCACTTGCAGAATTGAGTGATAATGATTGGTGGGGGAAATTCCTCATCAGACACTGAAAACGATTCTGCGACTTTGCTCAGCGATGTGCGAACTTGGCGCTATATTTCACATTTTTGTGTTTTTGGTTTGATTATATTATTGAATTAATTTTTTTATTATTATTATTTTTATTATTATTTATTTTTATTATTATTTATTATTATTTTTTTTTATTATTATTATTTTTATTACTTTTTTAAATTGTTATTATTATTTTTATTATTATTATTTTATTATTATTTTTATTATTATGTTTATTAATATTATTTTTTTTTTATTATTATTATTATTTTAATTATTATTATTATTATTATTTTAATTATTGTTATTATTATTTTTAATATTATTATTTTATTATTATTATTTTTTATTGTTTTTATTATTATGTTTTTATTATTATTTTATTATTATTATTATTATTATAAATTATTGTTATTATTATTTTTATTATTATTCTTTTTTTTTATTGTTATTTTTTAGTATATTATAATTTATTATTTTGTGTTTCAAGTTTTATCCTACCTGGGATTAGGGGTGGACTGACAACTCATGGGGCCCCCGGGCAATAGGGGATCATGGGGCCCCTGTGTCCTTGCCAAAACTCACAAAAGCCTATGAAATAGGTACCAAGGGCATCTCATGGGGCCCCCTACTGACCCTGGGCCCTCGGGCAGTGCCCGAGTTTCCAAATGGTCAGCCCGGGATGCAGGGGCAGACTGACCATTTGAAAACTCGGGCTCTGTCAAAGGGCCCGGGGTCAGTAGGGGGCCCCATGAGATGCCCCTGGTACCTTTTTCATAGGCTTTTTTTGAGTGTGGGCAAGGACACAGGGGCCCCATGATCCCCTATTGCCCGGGGGCCCCATGAGTTGTCAGTCCGCCTCTGCCGGGATGTTTACTAGACTCTTGTTCGGACAGATTTCAGTGAGTTATTCCTAAGAATTACAGGCCTACAATAAAAAAAGACATATTTCCATGCAAAAAAAGTACCGCTTTGAGCACAGAAATCCTGACATCTTCAGACCGCTAGGGAGGTTAATGCCTAAAGTGAGTAGGCGGACCAGCAGGAAGCCATATTCCTCCTGAAAAAGAGAATGGAGAAACGGCAGTTTGGACTGTTCTAAATAGGCCGCCTTGTGCTGTAGAGTCGGAGTTCTTCCATAATTCTCTGACAATGGAATCGCATGGAAGGCCCATTATCTGCCGCCATTCAGCTTGTGGCGCCCCCGGCCGCTCCACCTGCCAGCCCCTCCCGGCACTCAAACCTCAGCCTCGCTAAATGTGACACGGCTTCTAAAAGGACATTTTTTGCATCTCCGACATCTCCGGTCCCCGGGGCCCTGAACGTAAGTGACAGTTGTTGACAGCATTCACAGGGCTGCTCTTGTACGAGGAGTTAATGTATTTCTCAGCCTGTTGTCGGCTCTCGGATTCGGGATAAACACTCGGGGTCACGGCACACATTCCTAGGTGCATCTCTCATGATGGAAATCAGGCTGCAGCCAGGATGAAGATGGAGAGGAAGACCGGAGCCTTCTGTCAGTCTCTTTGTTTGGGGGGTTTTACAAATCGGATGAAACTCCGAGCCGGCGGTTCAATCCTTTGTTTAGTCGTAGATCCCTTTATATGGATGCAAAATCTGAAGGTTCCCCGGAGTAATGTGTAAGAAATGTAAATGTTATCGATGGGAAACCTGCGCCTGGGACTATGCACTCAACTGTCTTAATGAAAATCACTTCAAATCAGAGCCCCCCCTTCACATCAGAAGTTCCCCATCACATTAGAGCCCCCCCCCCTTCACATCAGAGCCCCCCCTTCACATCAGAGGTTCCCCCATCATATTAGAGGTCCCCCTTCACATCAGAAGTCCCCCATCACATCAGAGGTCCCCCTTCACATCAGAGGTTCCCCCATCATATTAGAGGTCCCCCATCACATCAGAAGTCCCCCATCACATTAGAGGTCCTTCCATCACATCCAAGGCCCCTTCATCACATCAGAGGTCCCCCTTCACATATTAGAGGTCCCCCATCACATCAGAAGTCCCCCATCACATCAGAGGTCCCCCATCACATTAGAGGTCCTTCCATCACATCCAAGGCCCCTTCATCACATCAGAGGTCCCCCTTCACATTAGAGGTTCCCCCGTCTCATTAGAGGTCCCTCTTCACATCAGAACTTCCCCTATCACACCAGAGTTCCCCCATCACATCAGCATCCCCCCATCACATCAGAGGTCCCCCTATCACATTAGGGGTCGCTCCATCACATCAGCACCCCCCATCACATCAGAGGTCCCCCTATCACATTAGGGGTCGCTCCATCACATCAGCACCCCCCCATCACATCAGAGGTCCCCCTATCACATTAGGGGTCGCTCCATCACATCAGAGGTCCCCCTTTACCCCATCACATTAGAGGTCCCTCCGTCCCATCAGAGTCCCCCCATCACATCAGAGGTCCTTCAATCACATCAGAGGTCCCCCCATCATATTAGAGGATCCCCCGTCACATTAGAGGCTGCTCCATCACATCAGAGGTCCCCCCTCACACCAGAGGTCCTCCATCCATCTTGTCAGAGGTCCCCCTTCACATTAGAGGTTTCCCCCATCACATCAGAGGTCCCCCATCACATCAAAGCTTCCCCCTTCACATCAGAGCTTCCCCCATCACATCAGAATTCCCTCTTCACGTTAGATGTTCCCCCATCACATCAGAGGTCCCTCCATCACATCAGAGTCCCCCCATCACATCAGAGGTCCTTC